GTGTGTGAGCTGTACTGACACGTTTTTTTGGGCATGGTGATGGTTGAAGCCGTTGTGGCTTGTATTTGAGGGCATATAGTACTGGTAATTGGGTTGAGTGATAAACATTGTGGTGGGGTCAATGAATGCAGGCAAGGGTTGTCCTGGGTGACAAATTTGATTGCAGTGCAAGTCCTTTCGGACAGGTTTGGCCTAGCCCGTGCGTGCATTCATTGAGTACAAGGTTAGATACATGATTAAAGGGGTATGTAGGTTAGATAGAAGTCCAAAGTCAATTTCTTGACGCCATAGGGTGGGTGCCTACCTCAGTTCAACAGGTCTCCTCTGGGACGTCTTGGTTTGGGGTGGTTGGCTTGTGGCTCGGGACTGCTCGCACCGTCCGCGAAATTGAAGTGAAGTCCGGTACTGGAAGATCGTTTTGGGATCGTTTGTGCTGTCCCGGGTCGCGCGGATTGGTTTCGGGGGCGGTGTACGGCATGGCGGTGGATGACTCCTCGGTGGTCGGTGTCCGGCCTCGGTGACACTCGCCTGGGGTTGGCGGGGGTTGTGTCCGTCGTCCTCCCCGGGGAATGGCGCTCCGGAACTCCGTCTCACTTTGCGGGGCGTTGACACGTCGGAGGGCCACGGTCATCTGCCATATGATGGCCGCTAGAAGGCGCCTGGTCGCCTCTCTTCTTGCCCGCTTCTTTCCTCTGGGTTTGTCATTGCTGTTTGATTTGCTGGCGTCTGGGCTAATTTCCATCTTGATCCTGATTAAGCTCCCTAATATCTTTATCCTGTCGACTCTATGTAATATATCCAAAGTTATTACACTGCAATATTTGATGTATTACACTGTTGTAGAATCCTGTCGACTTAACCGTTCTGTGACAATATCGTTGCGGAATTTCTTGTTGTTCGATTTGAATGGTGAGGATTGGTTGAAACGCAGTCGTTGAGTGGCAAGTGAAGCATACAGTTAGGAATAATCAGGACACGTGATGGGGTTTGAAAATAAAAGGCAACTGGATTGGAGGAAAGAAAGCTTGAGAAGAGCGGAGCGATTTTGATTGTTAATTATCTGATCACATGGTGGTGATTGTACTTAGCTACGGGATGAGCAGAGGGAGAGAGGTCCAGAGCCGATGTCACCTCCTTGGGAGCCAAATCACTACTGATCTGAACTCGGTGGGAGCCAAGTCACTACTCTAGGTGTTGTTCCTATGAGAGCGAAAACGTTACTGACTATTCTTGCTTCTCGATTTTACACCACGAGTCGTCTTCTTTCCCATTGGTCGAAGGATGGAACGTGCCCGTTTTTCTATTGGTTGACCTATTTAGGGGAGACTTTCTAATTGGTTCTGCGGCTTTCTTTGGTGGAAGATACCGCCGATCTTGTCAGGAAGTATTGGGTGTGCTCGACTCTTATTACTTCCGCGGTTATCAAATACGTCCGGTCCTGTCCGGAAATATTGGGCGTCTCTCTAATTTTATAACTTTTGCGGTCACAAGATACGTCCGGCCTCTTGTCAGGAAGTATTGACTGTACAAGTTATTAATACTTGTGCCCGCTTTTAGCCTGCTTCCTATGTCTTGTTGCTACTTTCTTTCCTCCAGTTACCTTATTCTTTATTAAATCTTTGAAAATCATACATTGTACATGCATAGTGGGTCGGGGGTGCATACAATTATATACAAATTATGACATATATATATATAAACAAAGGTCGCTTCTCCCGTCAAAATAGACGTCAAAGCTAGACGCCATCTATTGATCGTCGCCGCAAACTAGCGGTTTCGAGTCAGTGACAAAGTCACAACACCAGCTTTAGCCAGCTGAGAAGCGTCCACCTAGAGACCATGGTTTCAGGCTAATGGCCCTCGTCAGTCTAAGGCGGACTTTATTCCAACATATCCACAATGGACCTAATGGAATCTTGACAATCTGCTAAAGAGGTGCCTGAAGACAAATAAAGCTCTTGAATCTTAATGAAAACAGAGAACTGTGTACAAAATAAAGAAATGTCTGGCAATATGTACAATCAACATAATATAATACCAAGAGTCTACCAACAGTATCACTATAAAAGGAAGTTACAAAAATGAAATATAACAGCGGTATGGTAGATTAAACTGGCGAAACCGCTGGGAAGGTTCCCCACTGATGAGCCAGGCCCTCCCTTTAATTTTTCCATTGCAGTAAGGGCAGTAGAAATTGTTTAATTTCAAAAAGAATCTTACGCCTTTAAAATAGTTTCGAATTTTGATAATATAAATTATCAGTTTCCTAAAAGATATTTGTTGCTATATAATTCAACTTATTGAAAGGTTTTCTATAAGAATTCAACAACTTAATATAACATAATAAAGACAATTATATAGGGGGTTGGTGGAAGGATGGTCTAAACTGTTGGTTTTCGACCGCAACGTCCCGGGTTCGATTCCCGCATTGGGCACTTTTTCTGATAAAAAAATATGCTCCAATGACGCCCGATTCTTGCAAAACTCCAACCCCACCAGTAAGTACAAGTAACCAAACGGGGCTCTGGTACATTTGTAAGTGCAAAGTCGAACTGTTTTTCACATGTGTAGACATGTAGTGTACTTACATTTAAAACACTCGCATACTTCTACCCACTATGATTATCATGGCCTGTAACTCGTGTACTAGGGATTAGCAAAAAACAAAATGCAGTTATATCTGTGTGGAATACGATAGCATTACAATCGTGAATAATCAGGGCAACAATGTGCGTATGTCGGTAAACACTTAAGTCCTTCCTCATCCATCACCGTCAGCTACAAGAGCCATAATTAAGACGACGGCTTTACCCTCTGCCAACTATTACCGCATAGCTTGCATTACGCACATTGTGTCCACACATGCATTGCTAACTATATTTTCACATAAAAAACAATAATTCATCATCAACATTTATTTATTTATTTATATCAATTCAAAACGCTATGTCCCCCTAGGGATACTTGCGCTAAATGTACATACAAATATAACAAAGAAAATATTCAACATGGAAAGATACACAGAAAGCGACTTAGAAAGTTTCATAAATATTATTTACATATAGAGATATTCTTTGAATTTTATTTACAGTTACATCATTAAATTTAAAAATATATACATGTTATAGATTAGAAATTTTTTGTGTGTTTGATTGTTGAAAAGAGGTGCAGTCGTGGAAAAATAAAAATTATTATTTACCTTTCAAGCAGATTTTTATTTTGAATCTCTTGAAGTAAAAATATACATAAAATTATTTATATCACAGTAATATAAAATTTAGAAAATGAATTCTATATTCGTGATTTTCATTAGAAAAGGTAGGGTTCACTTTACATATTTACAACAACAATATTTAAAGTGCTATTATTTTGAATATATGGTCAAAAATGTATAACAGTCAATGAATGAAAAATAAAATATATGTTTTTAAAATAAAATAAAATATTTGCATTTTTAGATTATATAATATACATATATACACACATATACACGCATACACCTATATATTGTTTACAACCACAAGATATGTCCAATATTTCCTTGAGATCGTTACATCAAAGACCATTAAAGCAAGAATGTTTCTTTTGTAAAACGACGTTTGACAATTATACCGAAAATGTTTCTTTTGAACGAAAAATCGTTATTTATGTTAAGGAGAAATAACTACTATTTCTATCCTTAGGGATGAAGTATGAAATAATGAATTGTGAAGAGTAATGATAAACGGAAAAATACTTACTACCATATTCTTCAATCATAGGCCAGATAATAAGAAATACCAACCAATCTAATTACCCCATAAATTGAGGACATATGGCATTAGATGCTTATTCTGGTATTCCTTAACCATAGGCAAAATTATCAGAAATACCAACCATCCGAAATATCTCATAAATTGAGAAAATAGGCATTAGATGTTAATTTTGAAATTATCGAACCATATAGGCCAGATTATCAAAAATCCCATAGCTAAGTACAAATTATCCCATAAATTGAGAAGATATAGCATTGGATTCTTATTTAGATTATCACGAACCATAGGCCAGATCATCAGAAATACCACAGCCATATCCAAAATATCCCATAAAAATTGAAGAAATATAGCAGTAGATTCTTATATTGAAATTCCTTAACCATAGGTCAGATAATCATAAATACCAAAGCCAAGTACCAAATATCCCATAAATTAAGTAAAAATGGCAATAGATTCTTATATTGAAATTCCTCAACCATAGGCCAGATCATCAGAAATACCATAGCTAAGTCCAATTGTAATACAGAGCCAATACGCAAGCAGAACGCCTATCCCATGCCAACAATACATAGACATAGAATAGACCAAAATATCAATTGACACAACAATTGTATAGTCCTATTATGATAAATCAAGATAACAAATCTTTAATCTTTTAGCACAACAATTCAATAGGTCACCAGTTTAACCTAAACGGATGTCACATTCTGTGCCATCTTCTCCAAATACAATTAACTTATTGTTAGAATATTTAATCTCCAAATACAATAGCAGAAGATCTATTTAAAGTAATTCCTCAGTCTATTCAAAGCAGATAATCCCACATAGAAGTTCTACAAACTTCTCTATAGATTAAAACATTTATTTTAAAATTAATCTGTTATATGTTAAACGTCTATACACGGATAAATTAGTCTGATTCAACGGGTAAAAGCTTACCTCAATTAGTAAACTTTATACGAATATTTTTCTCGTTTGTAAATTAAGTTGATATTGTTAAGTCTTCCTGTACTACTGGTTTTATTTCGACTGTAGAATGATTCATTGCTGTATTGTAAACAAGACCAGAGTGAGTATTCATAAAATAATTTGTATAACGACATTTGAAAATGATCCCGCATGTGTTTCTTTTGAACGAAAAACCAAAATTTATTTTAAGGAGAAACAACGATTATTTCTAACCTTAAGGATGAAGTATGAAAGGATGAATTGTGAAAAGTAATGATAAACGGAAAAATAAAAGTGTCCAGGGTAGCTTAGTGGACATGGCATCTGCCCGGTTTTAAAAATATATACATATATACACTGTGGGTTCGGTTCCCATCCCTGGACACTTTTATTTTTCCGTTTATCATTACTCTTCACAATTCATCCTTTCATACTTCATCCCTAAGGTTCGAAATAATCGTTATTTCTCCTTAAAATAAATTTTGATTTTTCGTTCAAAAGAAACACATGTGGGATAGTATTTCAAATGTCGTTTTACAATCACAAGCCGCATTATATTATATTGTATTATAAAATAATTTATTTCAACAAGAATTTACAAGTTTTTCCAGATAGATCAATACCTCTGAGGTATATCTACAAACTATTTACAAAAAAATGCTGTGTTAGCATCAGGGTGATGACGTGGCATTTAATCTGCGTAATAGGCAACCACAGAATATTTATTCTATGCCAATATTTATCAACTTATCACATTCAATGAATTAAAAAAAATCTTGAAAAATATCCCTTTATTTCTACTTCTTTCATGTATATTATAAGTGCTATTACAATATTTAGGTGTTTTTTGAATAAAAAGGAATATATTGAATTAAAATATTATTTTATTTTATTAAAATTTCAGTTGGCTGAACGCCAACCTTTATCAAGGTATTATAACATATTAATGTGTTATGAAAAAGGCATCTCTTTATCGTGCAACTGAAAGTTGCTGATGGCTTGCGCCATCTATCGGAATAAATATCAAGTATTCTCGTTGATTTCTAATTATTCCAGAATTGGTCAATTACCCATTCTTGATTAATCAAGAAAAGCTAACCACGTACGCGTTTCAGACTATTTGCCCTCAGCGTGGTGCAAGCTGTACCTCAACAACCAAAAAATTGGTCCTACAGGCATCTTGAAAAATCATGAATTAATGTGTGTCAACAACAAACTCAGCGCCACATAACCTGTTGATAAACATTAATATGTTATAATACCTTGATAAAGGTTGGCGTTTAGCCAACTAAAATATTGGTAGAAAAAAATAATATTTAGATCCAATATATGCCTTTTTAATTAAAGATTTATTTATAGAGAGATTGCTCTTTATTCAAATATATATTAATATGTATAAAACAACACTTGAAGTTACACCGCATGAGTTTCTTTTCAATTAAAAATCAAAATTTATTTAAAGGTGAAATATTGACTATTTCTAACCTTTTTGGATGAGGTATGAAAGGGTGAATTATGAAGAGTAATGATGAACGGAAAAATAAAAGTGTTCAGGGATGGGTATTATATATGAACGAAAAAATACGTCCAGGGTAGCCTAGTGGACATGGCATCTGCCCGGTGAGCGGAACATTGTGGGTTCGTTTCCCATCCCTGGACACTTTTATTTTCCGTTCATTATTACTCTTCATAATTCATCCTTTCATACCTCATCCAAAAAGGTTAGAAATAGTCAATATTTCACCTTGAAATAAATTTTGATTTTTCATTGAATAGAAACTCATCCGGTGTTACTTCAAGTGTCGTTTTACAATCACAAGCCGCAGTGTATTATATAGGTATGTATATATATATATATATGAAAATAACTACAGCATTCTCAAATAGATAACCAAAATAAAAGAGTGCAGCTCCAAATTCAATCGGCTGTTGTTCTATTGAATTCTTGTCCAAAAGATAGACTTGAAACCCATCTCTATCCCTTTAGAATTCAATTTGTACAAATGTAGCACACCAAATTTTACTTTCTCAAAAAATCAATTTACTTCCTTTTTTCAGACGCTATTCTGTGAATAATTTGTTTGTTTGGCAATTTATTACGCGACGCAAATTGAAATTGTCAAATAATTGTATTTTAAATAGTTTCATACTTTGAAAATAGAGCAATCCATAAATAAATCTTTAATTAAAAAGGCATATATTGGATTTATTTTGTCCATAATATAAATATATATATCAAATATTTTCTCCCCATTGAATATAACAAAATATTTTTAAAACTTAATGCTGTTGACGTTATGTGGCGCTGAGTTTGTTGTTGACACACGTTAAAATATTATAACACCTTGATAAAGGTTGGCGTTCAGCCAACTGAAATATTGGTAAAATAAATTATATTTTGATCCAATATATGCCTTTTTAATTAAAGTTTTATACTTGTGTTTTGAAATTATTTATAATATTAAATTTTATATATTTTAATATAATTCCTACCTTAATAAATAATCTATTAATATTTTTATCAGTTAAAAAACATTTTATTAAAATAATGCCGCCAGGAGGCGAAACTGACCGGACGTGCTTCGCTGGGCTCCGCTAGTTTCGGTAAATATTGTTTTAAATATTCATTTTCCTTAAAGTCTTATTAAACTGAATTGAATTATAGCATTAAGTATAGTCGCTGAAACGCTCATTATTTAATTTTAACTATTTACTTTAAATTAAATGGACAAAAGGAAAATAGATTTGCATAAAATTTAATATGGATTTACTAATAAGAACATTGACTGTAAAATTAGATGAAATCTACGAGTATTTTGACAATAAGGTCAAACAGAGAGAGAGAGAGAAACAAAAAAAACCTCACAAAAAATGATCTATCCTATTTGTCCACAATGGTTAAGCAGACAAAAGATGGTATTACTGCCTTGAGGGATATCAATAATCAGGACTTTTTAGATCAGCTTTCTGTGCAAGTGTCTGATGTCCTAGATCAAAAACTGGACAAATTCAAGGGAGAATTCAAGACACTGAGGCCCTCTTTTTCAGAGGTTGTGAAAACTCAAACAACGAGAGATACAATAAATAAAAAACAAATTAGTGAAAAAGAATTTGTAATTATAGCGCAGCCTTTTAATGAGGGAAATAATCAAGATGTACACCACGCTATTGTTAATAAGATCAGAGTGTTAGGAGAGGAAAATAAGAAAGTTTGAGTCAATAAAATTATAAACACTAAAAAATATATTATTATAAAAATGTCGGACGAGCGCGAATCTAATTTTCTAAAAGAGGAAATATGCAAATCAACTCAGCTAACAAATATATGCAAAACATTTATTCCGACCAAAAGAGATCCGACGATAATGATTAAAAATGTTAATAAAATCACCGAGGTAAATTCCTTCGAAGAAACAATCTGTCAGATGAACGACGAACTAAGGGATATGAAAAGTGAAATTAAGGTTTTATTCAGCACTAAATCTAACACCCCTACTCACAATATAGTTTTACGGGTTTCTCCTAGGGTATATCAAACCATTAGAAAATTAAATAATAAAATCTACACTGATTGCGAACGCTGCGTTGTTGTAGATAAGATTTTTGTGAAACAATGCCAGAAATGTCTTAAATTTAATCCCTCTCACAAAATGGCAGAATGCCCTAACACCCCAATGTGCAGAATATGTGGAGTTCAGGGAGTTCATGATTGCTCAGGAATTCCCAAGTGTTTTAATTGCTCTCAACATCCTAAGTATAGAAGCAAGCCCTTATTACACAGAGCAAATTCGGAGGAATGTCCATTGTATAAGGCACAAATAGACAGAATAATCGAAAGAACAAGTTATTTCCCAACTGAACAATCAGATAACTAACTCATACGAGTCAGGAAAGTATAAAATGCAAGCCCCATTAATTAAGTGTGTGCAACAAAATTTAAGAAAAAGCATAAACGCAACAAATGAGCTCCTGGCTCAGATAGCTAACGACCCACCAGACATTTTATTTATTCAGGAGCCCTACACAGTGAACAATGTTGTTATTTTTGGCGGAGACGAGCATTCAGTTTTAACAGCAAAAGGAAACAAGATAAACTCGGCAACAATAATTTTAAATAAAGGATTAAAATACAATAAGATAGATCAATTCACCAACTCATTTTGTACTACAAGCTCAATACTTTTATCAAAGTCAAATATAATTACAGCGAATTTTTACATTCTCCCCAATTCTTTTTCGGAAACCCATCAAAGGTTTATTGAGGAAATTTTGGAAACCTTCAAAATTCAACCGATTCTGCTTTGTGGGGATTTTAACTCTAGGCATCCCGTCTGGTATGATCGAAAGACAAATTCAAATGGTCACAAACTTCATTCAATAGTGAACCAACACAATCTTTTCGTCCATAATATTAAAACTACAACGTGTCGTAATTCTAGCGTGATCGACCTCACTATCGCCAACAGAAATTCAATCAGTCTATTAAAAAACTGGAATACATCCATAATGACGGACACCTCCGATCACGTGACAATAACCTACGAGATCGTTAATAAAGACAACAGTCATATAAACGGTTATTAATCAACGTGGAAATTCAGCGAAACTGACGCAAACTGGAATGCATTTTATGATAAATTTTCCTCCCCCGAATTGCTAAGCCTCGCGGATGAAACTAACCAAATAAAAAATTCCGAAAGTGTAGATAGAGCTGTTTTAAAACTCACAGATATTATCAGTGAAGCAGCTTACGCATCCCTTAAGTTAAAATCAACCATAAACAAAAACAAAGTCAAATTCAAGTGGTGGACGAATAAACTTGAAAAAATTAAAAATGATTTTAATTATATAAGAAATTTATTCTATCGCGCGCGCGAGGCTAAATAATTAATGAAAAATTCTTTAAAGCTGCTCGTAATAAATATAATAAAGCCATTAACAAGGCAAAACTTAAAAGCTGGAGATTCTTTCTCGAAGAAAACGAATCAACTAATCCATTTGGGAACACTTATAAAACTTTCAAAACCTTAAAAGCATCATTTAACACAACAGGGATTCCATTGATAGACAACGCACCGGATTTTGCTAGGACTTCAAAAATGGAAAGTTTATTGAACGATCTTTTCCCGGACGATGATATTTCTTCCGAGGAGGAACTTCACAAAGCAACTAGATATTACTCGCCAATCTACAATAATAGAAACAAAGTGATCATAAGCCTAAAAGATATCGAATCAATTATTGTATTATTGAAAAATAAGAAAGCACCTGGATCAGATAATATTAGCAATAATATGATAAAATACGCCTACCCTAGGATTTCCATAATCCTCCATCAAATATTTGAAAAATGTATAAGTTTGGGATATTTCCCAGATTATTGG